AACATGTGCCAGGCTTGATGTACTTACAAACACACCAAGCCCCACCATTGTGAGATGAGACTGGACCCTCAGTTTCTAACATGCCTCTTTCTTTCTCTGTCTGTCAGAGCTTCTTCATTGCCACCTCCTGCCAGCTAAAACGCCTGGAAGCCTGCAGCCGATCCCCGGTCTATTCCCACATTGCAGAGACCTTTCAAGGAAGCAGCAGCATTCGTGCGTACAAAGACCAGCAACGGTTCATTTCGCAGAACGATTTCAATGTGGATGAAAACCAGAGGGGTGCTTTTCTTGCTGTGGTGGCTGACAGGTATACACAGCCACAGTTTCAAAAGGTGAAGGTTACAGAGAATAGGGTTGGTGCCAGCGAGAAGTCATGTCACTATTTAGTCTTGCTTCCAGACGTATTTACCATGCACCTTAGAACATAAGAGCAGCCATATGGGGTCAGACCAGGAGTCCATCTACTTCAGCATTCCACTCCACACAGTGGCCAAGCAGATGTATTTGGAAGGTCTACAAGATGGACATGGAGGCCAAAGGTTAGAGGCACAGAGTTGACATCATTTTCTTGTGTTCCTCCTGGCCTTCTTTAGTCCCACTTTGAGGGAAAGTGAGAACAGGAGCCCTTTAGCATGGTGAGCTCATTGCTAGTTTCTGGGCCTCTGAAAAGGCTTGCCTTTGTGGGCTCTCAGCACCGTGGGTACAAGGGAGTGCAGGAGTGGGGTACAGATGAAGAAATGCTTCGTTCTAGACACTAGACACATTCTGTGAGCATCTTAATTATTTTGCTGCCTTGGCTTAACTCAAACCATCTGCAGTACGGAATCCAGTCTCAGGGCTTCTGGTTTATGGTGACACACTGGCGGACGCACCGCCCGGACCTCCTGGGGATATGATGTGCACACCAGTGAAAAGGAGGGGGGCGATGGGTTGCTACCCCCCCCGGAGCCTTGGCAAAAGGCTCCTAGCCATGGGGCTTCTGAGGGGTGGCCACTTCACCAGCGTGATGCTGGGGAATTGAGGCGCTCCTCCGCCCCAATGGTCCTGCTGCTGAGTGTCCGTATGGATCTAGAGCCGCTGACCGGGACAAGCTTCGGAGAGCGAGCATTTTGAACGTATGCTGAGCGAGGTCGTATGACCAACAATGAACTGTGAGTCGGGTTAAAGTGAAACGAGAATTTTAAAAGAAAGCTACCCCCTGGGAACGGCGAAAAAAGCGAGCGGGGGAGGGGCCCCTCCCATACGCATGAACTAAACAATGAAATACTAAGGGAGGAGCGGAAGAAAAAGTGTTGAAACCTGTTTTGAGAGACTTACCAGAACACGGATAAGCGTGTGGGCGTATTTCAGAGACTTTAGCAACTTTTCATAAAAGTAAACAATCCATAAAGATGGCAGGGAAAAGGGCAGAGAAAGACAAACCAGTAAAAGTGAAACCAGCCGGCTTGAGCCCTCAACCGGAAGAGACCACCGAGCTCTCCAAAATGTTCTTCCGCCCTCTGCTGGACCAGATGACTAACATAGAACAACAGCTGACGAATCTAAACCAGAATCTTGCAACTCAGCAGCTCCAACTGACTGAGACTTTAAAAATAATGGAGCAAACAGCTGAAAAGGTGAAGGAAATGGATGCCA